TGAATTGGTGCGTTGAGGATAATTTGTTAGTCGACAAAACAAGCAGGGGTGAGAACTTGAGTCGAACGGAACTGATAAATCGGCCAATTCTCGCTCCGATGCAGATAAACATGTAGTTCAAGTGGTCATCATACTACGACAGATAGCGATATAATGAAGGTATGCTATGGTGTGAGAATGAAACGCAACTGCCCAAGTAATTATTATTCCTTTCTCGAGCTGGTAGGGTCACTAAAAAAAAAGCTCCATAAAAACGTCAATTTGAAACAACGCTATAGTCAGACCATCAACGACGATCTTGATCAAAAATGCGTTGTTCCTGTTAGTCCGCGCAACCCACGTAATCAAACTGCCAGAGTAAAATGTTCACCACAATAATCAGTGAAAAATTAGAACAGGCCAGAAATTTGAGACGGCTACTGAAGGGTGCCAGCAAAAAGATATCGAATATCTTGGAAGCAGTCACTTCTGGTTGGTCCGCAATGACATAGAAGGAAAGTTCTTGCAAGAAGAAGAAGTAACAATCGATAAATTTTGTCTGCTTTTTGTGTCGAGAGTACATCACAATAAATGAGAGTGTTTTTCCATTACACTAGGCACATTTTCTGTGCCCGAGAACCTTTAAATTGGGAAAATTTTGCACTCCAGTTAAACATCCATGTTATTCGCAAAGCGTATCCTGCATCCACAAACGCCGTCCTCGAAAACTTTAATAAGGACAATTGCTGGGTTCAATACTCAAACCGAAGGACGTTATTCAACTGGGTTCCGAACTCGTGATATTTTTCAGTGTAGGAGTATTTAAAATACTTGAAGTTTCTCAGCAACGTTCCAGGATGGGTAATGAGATTAATCCCGATGATAGCAAAATTGAACCCATAGAAAACATTGCTGCTACACATGTAAAAATGACACAAGTCTTAGCAGTGAAATGAAGTCAAGAAGTTAACACTTCGCTAATTAGTCGCGGATTTAATCGAGAGGCCAAGAACTCAATTACGCAACACACAATCCTAAGATTTGTTTGCTCTGTTTTCAACCCCATAGGTCTTGTAGCTCCGTACAACGTCCGCGCATGTCTTCTGTTGAAAGGTATAAAGCGCATATCTGGCCAACATTGGACGACTTTTTGTCTGATGATCTGAAACAAAAAATTATTGAATGGCATAGTGGCTTGCTATTTCTAGGTAAACCAACAGTCGCTTGCTATAATTTTGACTATTCTTGTTACAAAAATCCATATGTTCGGCGACAGTTCAGAAGATAGCGAACAAAACGCAATTGGCTTGTGCTTCTGCTAAAGTTAGAGTCACTTCAAGAAAATTATTTCAAGGCCAAAACAGGAATTAGAAGCATCACTCATAGCGAGCCGAGAGAGAAATGATATCGACATTTCTTTGTTATTGAAAATTGATCGTGTTTTCTTGTGAAGGGATGGCACAAGCGTTCTCCCCTGGATAAATTCAACAAACAAACATCCATATTTTACTGCAAACCGTATCGCTGAATTTCTTGAACCCACCACTGTAGAATAATGGTTTCATCTATCAAGCGATGATGAGCCAGCTGATATCGGTACTTGGTGTATTGCTGCGGATGCATTGAAAGATAGCGACTCGGTAAAGGGTCAGCAGTTTTTCAAGTCTATTGATTGGTCTCCCAAACGAGGATTAGTGCTTGTTAGTAGAATTTGTCTCAACGAAACCAATCACGATCTCATCAAAGTAATGGACACGCTTTAACGATCATTTGTAACACACAAGCGAACGAGCCGGTAATCATATGGGAAAACTTTAGTTCTTTTCCGAAATTTAAGGGTAATAAAAACCGCCTACATGATGAGGTTGCTACAGCGTCAGAGGAATTTGCGAACCGATTGTGCAATAATGATTGGAGTTACGAATAGGCAAGGACAAGTTGAGGCTGCTAACTCAATCAGGGTTGTTTCTGAACAAAAGCAACGATCAAAAGAGCCATCAACCGGTCAAGAAGTTAAATTGATTAGCTTCTTTCTTGCCATTTATTAGCCCTGCTTGTATTATACGTTCCACTGTCCGTAACCGCAGCCTCGCCGATGTCGACTTCGAGTTCAAGCATCCGATAACCTTGAACATCCGTTATTTTCTCGTCTTCCTATTTTTGTTGTTCTCATATATATACTGCAAAAAATCAATTTATTTAACAGCTTTGAGCAGATGTTCAACTCTAGTATGCTGTCTTGGAGCTCTTGGTTTCGCTCCGTTCCATCAAATATCTAAACGTTAATTGTTGAAAACGAAAGACGAAAATAGGCAGGCCAAAAGCTGATTTACCAAAACAGTACCTTAGCTATTGGCAGCATCCAATCAACTATTGCGAAGTCCAAATAGAACGCGCGCGCACTCCAAATAGAACCTGTTCTGTCTATGGACACAAGTTCTTGTGTCATGGAGAGTAAGCGTTTTATTGCAAGACGAGAAGCGCTTACGATAATCTGGTCCCGATAAGGGATCTAACAATTTCGGCACGGCAAAATGACTTCTTTTGTGTATCGAGATCTGGAATAGGCATGCACCGGCACTACTGGTTCACAAAAGAATCATGAAAATTCAATCCGCTCAATGCTACACATCACAGTGGCGTTTGAGAGAGGTTACTCCGTAGTACTAAGGGAGTTTCCTATTTTCTTTTCAATTCTCTAGTTCCGCTGTTGATTTTCGATGATTAACTTCATCGCCCTAAGCGATACGACGTGCTCAGTTGTGCGCGAACAAGATTTTGACATATTGGCTCAGAGAGTATGTGCTGATGCTGATCAAACGTGTGAAGTTGCACATTTCATCGGAATATGATCCTAACACTGGAAATCTTAGGTGAATGAAGGATGATGAAGCTCTCGCGATGCGAGTTGCCACAATGAACAACTTCAACGACGGTTTCGCGCGATCCGCTGTTGTGAAACAAACAACGAGCGAATGCACACGACCGAATGTAGAAATCCCACTCATTCTGGCTCCAGTAGAGGTGAAGGATTTTGGCACATGCAAACATACATAAATTCGTTTTCTCTTCTTTCTATAATGTATTCATTTCGGAAACAACTTTTTGATTCAATTTTTAGCAAAAATTCTCCTAAGAATAAGAAAAACATTGTTTCCTAAATTTGAAATATTTTTTTCCAGCTTCGGTTTTCAATCAAGTTCTCAATAGCTATTCTGGTTGAAAATTTGCTTTATGTGTTAAGTCACCTTTTGCATTGCCAAAAGAATTAAATCGGTTTATTCAAATAAAGTTAACACAATAATTAAAATAGTTCAAATGCCCACAAAATTTGAAATTGCAAAATGATTTTGCAGATCCGAAAAATGTTCAAAACACTCAAATCTTGAGTTATGATTCCACGTTCTTTTTCTTTTGTTATTACACATCCATCGCTAACAGGAACAGGGCTGATGAAAAACACCATTACCCTTTAGTTACTGTAAGAATTACTACAAAAAAAGATGTTCAAATCCACGATTTATGTCCACTGGACAACGAGTTATTGGTAAAGTTATAATCAACTGAGTAAAACTGAAATAAGTCAACCATATTTCAACCATCAACAAGCAAAAATTTTATAAAAAATCTTATAAAACGAGGATCAGAAAAGTAAATTTGGAAAGCACTCAAAAATAGCAATCGTTAGATACAAACTCTGTCGTACAGTTCTACGCGGCCGAACGAAAGGAACTGTTTCTGTAGAAGTATTTGTCTTTTATTGGTTTTTTGTACCCTAAGCCAATGTCGACAAAAACAGAGCATATCTTTTTTCAGAATGAACCGACTATTGCCGTAGCTGTTGTGTGTAGGAGAGCATCTTTTTTCTAACAACACGGAATTTCCGAAACAAACAATAAAGCCACAAGAAAAAAAACATTTTATACAAAAATGAGGCCTCAGAGAATTCCAAAAAACATGGCCGAGAAAGTTTTTGGCAAACTTCCAGAGCTTCAATGTTAGTTTTTTGTCCGGAATAAAAGTAATCATCGAAACGAATATATGTTCGATTGAAAATTGAATAAAATTGAACGAAAACTGGTAAAAAAAATTACCACAAGCTTCACACAACTTTGCTGTAAATCAGCTTAATAAAAAATGTGAATCTAGACATACTGCTTAATTTTAGAACAAAGTCTTGAATGTTCCGACTGCATTTTAAGGTCTATGAGGTAAACTTCATCTTAGAAAAATTGCTGAAATATTATTTAAAAAAATCGAAAATTTTCAATTACTTTGGTTTTTGAAATTGTTCCCCCAAACACTGACGTACAAAAAGTTATTTCGCAATAAAAAATTGTAAAGAGACCAAACAGTATGCATCGATTCAAATTTGAAACCTTCTAACATGGATTAAATTCCGCTGACGCGTTAATAGCGCAAAATATATCGCGCGTTAATTATCCCAAATTGGCCAATTGGCAACATTTAAACATCCATAACTTTACGAAAAATGATCACAGGTGAAATATCTTTTCAAGTTTGAGCTCAAGACAACAATACCTTTTGAATGATACAAAAACAAATCCGTTTAAAATGGCTAGTTAAAAAGTCAAAATTTGTCTGAAGAAAAAAAAACCCACCCCGAGCACAAATATTCCGTTACTTTCGTATCGAAAGTCGGAACAACACGACAGATTTTGATTGATTCGTCAGACCATAACTGAACAAATTAGGGTTAGTTCATATTTGTTCCTAGAGCTAAAAAATAGATTTGCAGAGAATCTATAGTTTCTTGCATTTCGAAATTTTTTTGCGACTGAAGACCCTTTTGTTACGTCTACCATTTTCACTTGTAGCCAAAACATGTAGAAGTTTAAATTTTTTAGCGATAGCTTCTTTAAAACCAAAGTTGAAGGTATTCTGGTTCAATTTTAAACAAATACCTGTTTGTGATTTGTAAAAATTAGTATGGTTTGTTACAATATAACCGAATATAATCCTTTAAAAATGGATCATAATACTAATATAGATTATTGTACCGGGAAGTGCTAGCCCAAGCTTCTCCCCCAGTCCTCCAGCTATGGCCTCTACTAAGTTGTCCCCGTCTAGAATAGCAGCATCCAAAACATCGCCTGCCCACTGCTTCAGTCTCGTTGCTTTTTCTCTGTCCATCCCGACTTGGTCTCTATAGCTTTAATTCAGACTTTGACCAAATTTTCTAAGCAACTGTTTAAAATTATATTTAAATGAATTTTGTTTCTTGAGTTTGTGTGAAAAATCTATGTTACATGTGGTTAATCAATACTGATTTTTACAAAGTCTATCCATATAAGGCTCGATTTGCCGTTTAACTTTTATGATAGTTGCGTTATGATAAATTTCTAGCTTGCATGATAATTACGTAAATGCCAAATCTTCTAAAGCATCGGTACTTTCAGATTCGGTTCGTCCAAATCTAATTGTACCGGTGTCTCAGAAGTCTTGACACTCAAACCAATGCATATTCAAAAACGTATAATTCTGTAAATAAAAATGCTAAATCTATGAGAAAAATCAAGTATTAATTCACGCACGAGAACACGTAAATCATATATTTATTTCATCTAGCACAATATTCAACCCGAGTCGAGGTTTTTCACCTAATTTGAAGCAAGTTTTGAGCCGTTTGAGCGGTTTTTTTAGACGGTTGCGCTCAAAATCTTGCTTGAAAATGAGCGGTTTGAGCGGTTTTTGAACAGTTTATCATAAAAAAAAAACGCTCAAAAGCCGCGCAAGATTTGAACGGTTTTGAGCGGTTTTTTTAAATAAACCGCTGAAAACTCGTTCAGATCTTGAGCGGCATTTGAGCGTTTTTTTTAAACCGCTTGAAAACCGCTCAAACCGCTCATTTTGTAGCAAGATTTTGAGCGAAATCGTCTAAAAAAACCGCTCAAATCTTGCTTCAAAAAATGCGAACAACCTCAAATTGGGACCCCTTCTTGAGAAGACAGCGGGTTGAAGTGTCCTACTCATGATTTGACCGGCACGGTCGAACGGAGTCCGATTTTTGTCGCAAATTAATACGGTCGAACGAACACTATAGTCGAACAAAGTCGAATCATGGGTCGAACAGGGTCGATGGAGTCAAACAGGGTCTAATCATGAGTCGAACAGGGTCGAATCATGAGTCGAACAGGAACGAATCATGAGTCGAACAGGGTCCATAGAGTCGAGCAGGTTATAATCATGAGTCGAACAGGGTCGAATCATGAGTCGAACAGGGTCCATAGAGTCGAGCAGGTTATAATCATGAGTCGAAGAGGGTCGAATCATGAGTCAAACAGGGTCGAATCATAAGTCGAACAGGGTCGAATCATGAGTCGATCAAGGTCGAAACATGAGTCGAACAGGGTCGAACCATGAGTCGATAGAGATGAACAGGGTTGAATGCTGGGAATGCAGTTGACCACGTAGTTTTCAGTGAGATCTTTAGGCAGTTTGACCCTCCTCTTGGAAATCATACGCCTGGATAACCTGGACCAAATCTGCTGACTGCAGGAAAAATTAATGTAGAATTCAATTAGATTTTTTCTGTAATTGTAGGCCTTTTCATGGTCTTTCCATGCCTTTTGATGGTTTTATTCAGTTTTCTTTATAAGACCGCACAAAAACCGCTTAGAAACCGCTCAAATCTTGCTTGAAAACCCGTTCAAAAACCACCACAAGAAATGAGCAGTTTGTGTGGTTTGAGTGGTTTGAGCGGTTTGAGCAGTTTTTCCAAAAAAAAACGACCAAAACCGCTCAAATCATGCTGGAAAACCGCTCAAACTGCTCATATCTTGTTTTTGAATGGGATCTCGACCCGGGAAGCATGGCATCAAAATCAGCAATTTGAAAAAAAGGGGCACTTGAGACAATCGTCAAAATAAGACCGCTTTGGAAACAAAAAACATGTTTGTTTTTAAATTCTGAGGCAATTAGACGTGCGAATTTCCACTTATTTTGTCTGCTACGTAAGCACTTTGCCCAAACTTTCTGATGTTTACATGAAAAAATGTTGAATGGGATCTCGACCCGGGAAGCATGGCATCAAAATCAGCAATTTGAAAAAAAGGGGCACTTGAGACAATCGTCAAAATAAGACCGCTTTGGAAACAAAAAACATAATTGTTTTTAAATTCTGAGGCAATTAGACGTGCGAATTTCCACTTATTTTGTCTGCTACGTAAGCACTTTGCCCAAACTTTCTGATGTTTACATGAAAAAATGTTTACATGAAAAATTGCTGCTCAATCAGTCGAAAAAGTATTTGATAATTTTATACTCTTGTTTGTTGTTAACTTCTGTTAGATAAATCTACAAAACAAAATTGAAATCTACAAAACAACAAATGAAAAAATCAAAAACTTGAAAGGCTTTCAAAGAATTTGAGGCAGCATTCAATAAATCCTTACATTGACTCAGTATAATAATTTTCTTAAGACTCAGTAGTGTATGCCAAAAGTAGGGTGACTGGTTCCAACAATTCTAGATTCAAAAATTTTCTGAGCAGTCGAACCTTACCCCCTTTCCGTTCTAGCTTACTACAATAATTTTTGTTTGATCAACCTCAAAACATTTTTACTGGTCTTTGTGGCTAATCGGGTTTTAAATATTCTCGAATTCACTACAGTTGATGTGTGGTTCTGTGGGTTCAGTGGCAGCAACCCAATACATAGCGGCACCCATGGAATAACTGGCCAAGAATTGAAAGAGAAAAGTTGGGTGAAAGGTTCCGACTTTTTGATAACAATTGATTTTTTTTCAAGGAAAAACAATTTAATTCAACTTAATTCTAATCTGTGTTCCATTAGTTGAGTTACCAGAATCATTAGAATTGAAATATTAATATTCGCTTCATGGTTCATAACAATCAGCTCCATTCACATTGAAGCAGAAGCTTTCAAGGCGGGCGGTATTCAGTTTTATTGAAATCATCCTCATATCAATGTTCTGTAGTGATGACTTCACCTTAGAACATATTACAACAGCTAAAAGATATCAAAAAAAAATCTTTCATGCAAGTTAACTGATGTCCATCGAGCGCGCTTCAAGATATATTTGCTCAAACGCAATCAAGTCTCGGTCTCCGATATAAAAAACGGGATCCACGGATACACATGATCGAAGATTTGATGAGCGCAAATCTAAGACGACATCGAATCCACCAAAGCATTTGAATATACGAAGTTATTTCTTGCTTCTCACTGATCATCGAAGCAAGTCTTTTGTAAAACGTTGTAGCAAGTTTGCCCATGCCTCCCGTGCATGAAAGATCAAGAGGTGTGAATGAAATATGTTCAATTTCTCTGACACTTTGCTCATAGCATCTCTTTTTTCCACTTCGTGCTTCCTGTACACACTTGGCAGAGAACCAGAATTTGATTTGGCGCAAAGATTGGATAATCTTACAACGAAGAACGCGTTCTCAAATCTGCCTCCCCAGACTCACTTGGCAAAAATCTCAAGACGCCTTTCATTGCCATTAATTAATATTCTCAAATTCAGCCAGAAATTTACCCGATAACTGCTCTAAAAGAGGTTAGATTTTAAAATTTCAGCAAATTTTAGACAACAATTCTCCTGTTATGTCTTTGACTTCATTATGTCGAATAGCTGGTAAGCCTCCAGTAGGACAAGACAAGCAATGCTGAAAAGGATATTGTTTTTCCACAAACACAGTGGGAAAGGACATCTTTTGGCAGCCAATTATATTGCAAACATCAGCTTGATTCACATTTATTATAATGAAAATCAGCTCCATTCACATTGTGAGCAGAAGCTTCCTAGGCGAGCGGTATTAAGTTTTATTGAAGTCATCTTCATATCCCTTTTATGTAGGGGTGACTTCACATTAGAACATTTTACAGCAGCTAAAAATATCATAAAACAACATCCATGCAAGTTAAATGATCTCCAGCGAGCGCGCTTCAAGAACTCTTTGCTCAACACGATCATGCCACTTGACTAGACGAAGTTATTTATTTCTAACTTATCAGTGAAGAAAGTCTTTTATAAAACCTGGTAGCCAGTTTGCCTATGCCTCCCGTGCATGGAAGATCAAGATATGTGAAAGCACGATGTTCAACTTCTCTGATACGTTGCTCATAATATCTCTTTTTCCACTTCGTGCTACTTGTACACACGTGGCAGAGTACCAGATTTTGATTTGGCGCAAGGATTGAATGCTCTTACATCGACGAATGCCTTCTCAAAGCTGCCACTCAAGACTCATTTAGCTGGAGTATCACGACGCCCTTCATCCCCACTAATTGATGTTCTTAAAGCCAAAAAGTTGCCAGATAACGCTCTAAATTAGGTTCGTCTTTAACATTTGAGCAAACTTCAGTCAACTTTTCTGCAGTTATGTCTCTCACTTCATTATGCCGAATAGCTGGGATGCCTCCAGTAGGACAAGAGAAGCAATGCTGAACCGAGAACGCTTCTCCACAAACACAGTGAGAAGGGACATTTTTCAGCGGCCAGCTATATCGCAAGCACAAGGCATACCGAAACGATGCTTTACTCAGGAAAAAACCTTGTTTTTCTAACACCAACCTTGTGAGCCAGTTTGAAGCGCATCTTTCGGTAGCCAGTTTAAATGCTCCTGAATATGGAGTACTGACAAGCAGTTGCAACATCTTTCTTTTGGCGCGACGTTTGAATTTCTTCTGTATTTTAGTAGATGCTCGTTTCTGTCTACTTGCAACTCCGTCTAAATCAGTTTCACTTGACAAAAAATTCTCATCAAGAAGTTTACAGAGTCTCCGAGTCTTTGAGTTTCTGAACTGCGTCTAAATCTGGATTGATGACATTCAAATCACCAAGTCTTGCAGGAACCTTTCAATGATCTGGTGATACTCCTGGTGATGTCTCCTGGTGATACTCTAATTGTCAGCTTTGGCAAAAACTGCGTTCTGATTTTGTTTTCGAGTTTTGTGAGATTATCATTAATTTCATATTAGCTTCAATTTATCTTTCTCTTCATGCCTTCCACTTTGGAATTTAACTACGCGTTCAAAGCTGCAAAAGCACATTATGTCGATAAACGCACTAACTCACTTATCCATCCATCTGACTTTTTTGAAAACATGTTGTTCAATGAGTTTTTTTGCTGCCAATCAGGAATCTCCACTATTTATGTCCCTCTGTTAACATTTTATACCACCGCAGAGAAAACACGCTCTGCAAAATTAAAGTGTTCACGTTCAACAATGAGCTTAGTCTTGGAAGCATTTGGGAAATATCCATACTCCGGTGCGAGTTTTTCAACGCTACCCACCA